CTCCAGCATGGGCAGCCACTGCGTCCTTATCCGGCTCTCCAACGTGGAAGAACTAACCGGCTTCCCTCTCTTCCTGTTCGGCCGGTTCATCATCGGCAACAGCTCCGGCGCCGCTCCCATCTTGTGACCTGTTGGAGGGGGTCCACCAAGAGGGTTTAGTTCTGCATTTAACCACGGGTGACCCACCTTCTCACAATACCAACACTTGCCCTCCATTCTCCCGAGTCCCCTTCCTCCCCCTCTGCCACCTCGGCCTCCACCACGTCCTGCTCCTCTACCGCCTTGCTGGTTGGAGGATTCCTCCTCCTTAGACGCCCCTCTCCCAGCACCTTGCCATTTTTTGCCTCTACCCCTTTTTCCTCCCTGCATGGCGTAGCTGCTGCTCCCCTCTTCACCTCCCCTCAGTTGGCGCCTCCTGAAGTCCTCCTCGAGAATCTTGGTGCGAATCCACTCCAAGGTCCAGGAGCTCTGGTTTTGAGGAAGACTCAGGCCACTTGTGAAGATCATCCATGACTCCGGCAGCAGCGACAGCATCTTCATACACTTGGTTTGTTCGGGGTAGACAATTCCAGCGATGGCGAGCCTGGCGTAGAGGTCTCTCAGCTTGTCAAGGACGGGTTGGACGGGTTCTCCTTTACTGAGGCGAAGGGTGGAGAGCTCCCTCTCCAGCATAAGGGTAGCTACAACTAATGTGGGGGCATGCAGATCCTTGAGCACTCTCCATGCCTTCGGTCCACACTCGTCCTCCGGGAGGAGGTGCATGATGTGTTGGCGTTGGGCGAGATCCAAACTCAGGGACAGAATGTAGTACCCGGCAGATGAGCGCTCGTCCCATTCGTTCTGCAGCTCCGGGGTACTAGGTCGTTCCTCGGTTCCTATCATCAGCTTCAAAAGGCCTATCTGCCAAAAGTACAGCTGCATCTTCCAGGACCAGTCATCATAGCCTTCTCCACTGAACTTGTCGACTGAGAAGTTCTTCAGCACTTCCCTTAGTAGCGGGCCCTGGTTCGTCCGGGCTATCCTAGGCGCAGAGACACCAGATTCATGGCTGCCACTACTTGTAGGGGCTGAGTTCCCTTCTTCTCCAGGCGACCCCATGGATGGATACATTGAGAATGACTAAGGACCAGCTCTGATACCACGTGTTAACTCTTAGTACTATGCGGAAGCGATTAACTCAATGCCACAAACATAAACTAGGCAACACTTAACATCACTTGTGAACCAAGTGAGTAGTTATGCCAAGCTTATCTTGTAGAGTGAGTATCCTGGTTGATCGGAGTTTCGGCAATACTTCGTTGTGTATCTACTCTCGTCAATACGGAGTAGTAGATTGTAAGTTTGAAATCATGAAAGCATTGTTGTTGAAAGCAAATACAAGCACACATATAAGAGAGGTCCTAGGTATGCAAATGAAAACACACAAAACAGTTGTCTAACTGTCGTCCAGGTCTTCGCTTTGCTGTCATTGAAAAACGGTTGTAAAACTGATTTAGAACTTGGCTTGATTTGCCGCTGTATAATAACTGTCTTCGACCTGCATTGCTGCCAAATTCTCTTGCTGACTCTCCTCGCGAACATTCATGTTTACTCGTGTGCGATCATGAACGCCCGTGTGAGATTCCCGTTTTTCAGTTACAAACGGACATTACCGTTTTGTACCTCTATCGAAATAATAACACAAAGCAGCGCGACTTTCTGGCAAATTTTCCTCCTCGCCGAGTCAACGCGAAAGTTCCGTTAGTCAACTGCAAAGTCTCGCGTGCCCCTCGTGCCCCACGTGCCTTTCATCACGACCGAGACATTTCTCGGTCGTGCAGGACAAGACGATCGCTGACGCGATCGTGCGTTGTCCTGCGCGTGACGGAGCGATCATGTCGCTCCGTCCTGTATCGATCGTGCGCTTTGTGCACGATCGAAACAGTGGCGACACACGCGCATGTTTTATGATGCCACACGCGCGTGTGTCAGGACCCCACGCGTGGGTCCTGACCTTTGCGCACTTGATTTACGCGAAAAAAAGTCAAAGGGCCTGGTCAAAGTCTCGAGCCCCAGTTCTCCCCGACACACTCGAAACTCACAACCAACCTTCATGAAAAAACTAGACATTCATGAAATACAAAACATTCATGAAACACATAACTTTCATGAACGCACATGTTCGTCGATGAAAACAAACATGAGCGGACATGAGCCGACATGAACGAACATGAGCCGACATGAACGAATATGTCTCGTCATGATCCGTCACGACCCATCATGATCCCACAGCAACAACACACGAAATGAAATGAGAAAACGAATGCACACATAACATACACAAAATGCATAACATCATGCAGGCGGCTGGTTGCAGTGCAAAAATAGTGTTTTGCACCCAACACATTTTGGATGTTAGGGATTTTTTTTATGTCATTTATTATTCTGGTTTACATCAACTATTGTTCAGCAACCTACCAACAAGCAGTCTTAGCACCAGGTCACATAGCCTATGCACTGCTCGGCCTTGCAAGCGCCCGGTGGGCAAGGACGACCTCTCCAAGGCCGCCATCGTCGATGAGGAACTTGTTCGGGAAGACGAACGCACCCTGCGCCGAATCGTGGGGGATCCTTTGCTCCACGACAGCAAAGTGGATCATCTGTTTGACCTTTTTTCGCACCACTCCTGGTAGTTTGGCCTGTTTTGTTCTGGCTAGTTACTAATTCGCTTGCGTCGTTTATCCTGCAGAAGGGGCCATTCGATGTGCAATGTGGTGTAGGGTTGGGTGGATGGTTGGTGACGAGGGGGGGTTACGGGTAAAGGAGCCAACTAAAAGCGGTGATTTAGTCGTCACTATCTACATCATTGCAAAGGCTTAAGCGACCAGGTATTTAGCTGAAGTATAGGCAAGGGGTTAAGGGGATGACGCATGGGGGTACAAACAAATATCTACATCCTTACCAAAAACAGGCCCCATGCCACCATGCGGCTCTTGAACTTGGTGAACACGACCCCGCCCCTCTTGAAGGAGACCTTGAACGCATAAGCAAACAAGGGGTTGCTGAAGGGCGTCCCGATGGCCTTGTCAAAGTGCATATTGAGGGCCCACTGTTCTGCAGGGTGGCAGGGAGGGTATGGGTTGGAAAGGCGGTGTACATCGCACATGGTGATATGTAGGTGCCAACTGGCATATGGTTGGGCATATGGTGTTTTCAAGGTGCACATACCATCTCCGTACTCCGCTAGGATTTGCTCATCGTCGAACCACCTTGCTGCGTGTAGCTCAGTGGGCAGGCTATCCACAAGATGGCTGTAGTCGGCAAGGCCCATGCCGGTGCATGCTGCTAGCCTGAGGGTGGAGTTGATGGTTGACCTTGTTGACGACATCTGGTGGTTGAAGACTCCCATGGTTGACTTGCCATTGTGCAACCACAGCAGCTTCATTGTCTCGAGCCCTTCTGCAGACAAGTGGACAGCGAACGCTTCGAACACTTCCTCCGGTGCAGTGTAGTACTGGATTTGTTCTGGGGGGTTCAGAAACATGAGCTGAGAGCACACTAAGTAGGCTTTGTTCTACGCAGGGGTGTAGGGTATACAACACGAGATGGGAGAGAGAGACCATCAGTTATGACTGTGGCCGTGTGACCCCAGGATGGGCTATGTGAACTTGCCACGCCACACCCTCCCGCATCCACCACGTCCACCAGCAACCAGCCCCACTTGCCACATCACACCCACCCACCCCATGCCACGTCACCCCCCACCCACCTGACACGCGTCACCTCGTCACGCGCCGCTCCCGTGCACCCTTCGAAACCGCCACGTCAGCCCCAACCCTCACATTCTGCCACGTCACACCCTCCTCCGTCCGCCACGTCCACCAACAACCCGCCCCACCTGCCATGTCACAACCACCCACCCCATGCCATGTCACCCCCCACCCACCTGACACGCGTCGCATCGTCACGCGCCGCTCCCGTGTACCCTTCCAAGCCACCATGTCAGCCCCAACCCCGCCCTGGTTGCCACGTCAACCCCAACCCGCCCCATCTGACCCGTCACATACCGGGAATGGGTTTGTCTCCTGCAACACTAGCAATGGTGCCTTGTCCACGGCACTCATCGGCGGTGGGGTACCAGCCCTAGGCACGGCTGCGGAACCCCCGGCATAACTAGCAAGTACTTCACGACGCAGGCTGAGCTGAGCAAACATGGCGTACATCTCAGACCGCAGCGCCTGGAACTCCTCCTGTGTAACAAACTGCTCGTGCTCCGCACTTTCACCTAGGGCACCCATGAGCGGAGGAAAAGGGTGTGAAGAATCCCCCCTCTGGCCAAGGGGATCAACGTCTTCTGCAGCCGTCCCGTGTGCCCTCACACTATCACGCTGGCGGGAAAAGGGGAGCTCAGGGAAAGGATTGGCAGAAGTGCTTGGCTGATGCCCGCGCGAAGGACCAGAGAGGGGGGAGACCGCCCTGCCTCGGACAGGAGAAGCGTGGAATTGCCGAAATGGGTATGAGGGTGAGGCGAGTGGGGAGTGCGTGATGTGGTCTGGTGAAGGGGAGTCAGATTCCTCTCCTCTTGGTGCGCCGGGTGCTGTCGCATCGACTTTGCTCGGGCCGGAGTATGGCGTGTAGAACCTTGGGGCTCCTGTGGATAGCGGTGTAACACTCACTCATCCAGCCTTCTTCGTTGCATGCTTACCGGCGGCCCAATGTCTGTAACGCAAGGGGCTGGGTTTTAGAGGGAGCAGGATCACAAAATTAGAGTCGATTTGTTTCAATACAGGGGCACACATGCATGCATAAGATCAACAATTTGAATTTAAGTCGGGTTTAGAAGGGTACTATTTTGTAACAAGAGGCTTTACCTTGCTTTGCAGATTCGTCGACCTTCCCCTTCCCTGCAGGGGAGAAACAATTTGAAGAATGGTGTTATTTGGCACGGTTGAGCAGAGAGTACAACAGGGTTGCCATGTGTATTGGCCACAGTGCTCACCTTTCTGCTGTCCCTTCGATTTTTATGCTGCCTGTGCCTTCTCGTTGCCACCTTTCCGTGGGGTGCTGTGGCGGCCGCTGCGACGTTTACCGGCAGGTTTTTTCTTGCCGGTACCCACTGGAACCCCTTTGGCGCGGCCACCCTTTCCTTCTCCATCTCCTTTTGCTCCCTGGCTCCCTTGCTTTTTACAACCCCCTTCACTTTCAACCTTCACCTTAGACGCCTTCGGTTTGCCCGCTGCTTCGCCGCGCGGGGCGTCAACTGCCCCACGTTTTCGGGAATGGCGAGTCCGGCCCCCCACCTTCCCTGTACCATCCACCAGTCTACCTCGCCCGCCCCGTCCCTTTACTCCCGCCACATCCTCCTCCTCCTCCTCCTCCTCCTCCTCCTCCTCCTCCTCCTCCTCCTCCTCCTCCTCCTCCTCCTCCTCCTCCTCCTCTTCATCCTCCTCGTCATCATTCCCATCTTTTCATTCTCCCTAACATCCGCGTCCTCCTCCTCCGCATCCTCTTCATCCTCCTCTTCTTCTTCATCCTCCTCCTCATCCTCCTCCTCCTCCTCCACATCACCAGGATCTTCATCGCCCCGTTTTCGGCCTCATCCCCATCGCTGCTTTCTTGCCCCTCCTTCCGCCGGATGTTTCTCTTGCTGCGGGTCGGCCCTTGTGGTGCAATGCATGACCCGTCGCCTTGCCACATGCTTCCCTGGCGCCTCGTGTTGTCCCAACTTCCGTGCCATCGGCGTCGTCAGCACTGCCTATCGTCTGCCGCCTCTTCGGCCGCGTGGTGATGTCCCCGGGCACGGCGGTGTCATAATCGTCCTCCCCATCGCTCTTCCTCTGCCTACGCCTCCCACGTCCACCAGATGGAGGAGAGCCACCGACGTTAGCAATGATGTGTTTAGGATCCTCCACCGAATCGTGCTCCCCCGCCTTGTCCTTATCCAGCACGGCAGCAAACATTTCGACCACGGTCGGCGGGAGCAGCGTCAGATGGTGTTGCGATGCCTCCGCCTCAGACTCTTGGGTTGCGGCCTGCTCGGCGCGGGGATCGTCTCCGTGGTTTCCCCATGTCGTTGATCCCTCTCTCTCCGCCGACGGGACTGCAAGACTCATGCTCCCTCGCCCCAGATCTTCTTTGCTGCCATTGGTGCCGTCGTTAGTCGGACCGGGCTCGGTTCCAGTAGAGGCAACATCCACATCTTTGTTCACTGTAGAAACACGCTTGCGTGGCGTTGGTTGCTTCCCCTTGTCTTCCGCCTTCTTGCCAGACTTCTCTTGACCAAGCGCGGCCTTTTTTGCCGCCACCTTTTTGGGCCCAATGCCACACGCGACGGATGCATTAGTTTTTTTAGCGCCACCACCACCCTCCTTATCGATCTGTTGAGACTGTCAGAACATTATAGCTTATGCTTTTGTGTAGGCTGTAGTGGGGTAGCCCATATGGGGTACAACCCAATGAGGGTTAGTACTTGTACTCACTTCATTCATAGTTGATTCATTCTCGTTTCAGTTTTCTCATGGTATCGAGCAGGTTCCCTCGTGGGAACTGTTCCTAGGCCCACCAAATCGATATATTTTTTTCCTTCCCGGAGCGCGCTCAGCCCTAGCCCGAGTCGCGCTCCCCTTTCTCGATCCCGTCGCGCCGCCCTAGTGGCCCCGTAGCCTACCTCGCGGCCCTCGCGCCGCCCTTCTTGGACCCGACCCGCCGCCCTGCGGCCTCGTCGCCCACCCCGCGGCCCTCGCGCCGCCCCTACCCGGCCCTAAAGCCGCCCTTACCTGCTGGCCCCGCCGCCCTCTCGTAGCGGCCTCGCCACCTACCTGCGGCCAGCCGCCCTTACCTGCGGCCCGTCGCCCTTACCTGCGGCCCCGCCGCCGTCTCCTAACGGCCCCGCCGCCCTTACTAGCGGCCCCGCCGCCCTTACCAGCGGTCCCGCCGCCCTTACCTGCGGTCCCCGCCGCCCTCAACTGCGGCCTCGCCGCCCTTACCTGCGGCCCCGCCGCCCTCAACTGCGGTCCCCGCTGCCCTTACCTGCGGTCCCCGCCGCCCTCAACTGCGGCCTCGTCGCCCTTACCTGCGGCCCCGGCGCCCTCAGCTGCGGTCCCCGCCGCCCTTACATGCGGCCCCGCCGCCCTCACCTTCGGTCCCCGCCGCCCACACCTGCGGCCCCGCCGCCCTCACTTGCGGCCCTGCCGCCCTTCCCTGCGGCCCCGTCACCTGCTGCAGCGCTGCCCGCCACCCAAGCCGCCCGAGCCACCTCACCTAGCCGAGCAGCCGACCGCCGCGTCACCTTGCAGCAGCACAGCCGAGCCGCCCAGGAGCTGAGCAGCCGAGCAGCCGAGCCGCCCTGCAGCCGAGCCGCCTAGCAGCCGAGCCGCCGTGCAGCCGAGCCGCCGAGCCGCCCTACCTCCGAGCCGCCCGAGCAGCCCCGTCCGGTGAGCACAGCGCCTCTGTCACTGCACTGCCCTTTCCAAACTGTTTGCCCTACTAGTCTACTGTTGTCATGGCTACCCCTAGTGTCCTCGCTTTTGACGCTGAGGGTCGAGCCATTGACTTTGACGTCTGAGTAGACGACCTGCAGCTGTTCTTACAGTGCGACATGGCAGACGGTCTCTCTCTTTTTGACCTCACCTCTGGCGCCTCTCCTGCCCCTGCTGCTGATGCTGATGCCACTGTTCGCTCCCAGTCGGCCATACGCGACGCTGCTGCACGTCTTGCTGTGCGTCGCCACCTCCCTACCTCCGAGCGTGCGCACTTTAGTCAGTACAAGAGTGCTCAGACCTTGTACGACGCTGTAGTTGCGCGCTACTCCTCCCTTGCCACTGCTGCACTGAGCCGTCTCATGCTACCGTACCTCTTCCATGTCCTTGCTGCCTTTCCTACAGTCGCTGACCTCATTACGCACCTCCGCACTAGTGACACTCGCTACCGCGCTTCGCTTCCTGCTGACTTCTGCGCCAAGAACCTCCCCCCCATGTACATCACTCTCTACTACATAGTCACTCGCCTCCCTGACTCCCTTCGCGTAGTCAGGGACCACTTCCTCTCAGTCTGTCCCACCACTCTCACTGTTGACCTCCTCGAGAAGTCCCTTCTAGCGGCTGAGAAGAGCATAGTCGCTGTAGGGGCCTCTCGTGGTGACCCGCGCACCCCCATCTTTGAGGGGTGCTCCCCCTCCCCCCTTCTGCCCTCTGTTGCCTCTGCTGCTACGGCCGACCTCCTTAGTCTTGAGTCGGTCGGTGCGGCGTCTGCCCCTAGCGGGAGACGCCGCTCTGGCAAGGGCAAGGGGGGCAGAGGCGCTGGAGGAGCGAGCGGGAGCGGTGGAGGTGGAGGTGGAGGCGGCGGGGGGAGTGGGGTTGGTGGTGGGAGTGGAGGTGGGGGAGGAGGTGTCGGTGGCGGCAGTGGAGGCGGAGGCAGGCGGCAGCGGTGGTGGTGGGAGCGGAGGTGGCGGAGGTGGCGGCGGTGGAGGCGGCGGCGGAGGCGGCGGTGGTAGCAGAGGCGGCGGAGGCGGCGGAGGCGGCGGGGGTGGCGGTGGAGCTGGTCGCGGGTCTACGCAGAGGAGTGGTTCCGGCGGTGGTCCGCGCCAGCAGCAGCAGCGCGGTCGTCAGACCCTGTCCCCTCAGCAGCTCCGTGAGTGGTACACTACACGCCAGCGGGGTGGGGGTTTTGGTCCGTGCACCAACGTCCTGCGCACCGGCGACCGTGCGGGTGAGCAGTGTGGGGGTGCGCACCCCACCCTGCGCTGCTTTGGCCACCTCACGGACGCGTGGCGTCGCCAGTTCCCGGAGGCCACAGAGATCCCTCGCTGGGGTGAGCTGTCTAGGGCGGGAGTTGCCATCTATGATCTTGATTTTGATGCTATTCTTTCTGCCATGTATGCTGTGTCTATTAGTGATGAGGGTGACTGTTACCGGTGTTTCCCGCCCGATCCGGGCATTGAGACTGCTGCTCTAGGTACTGGTTAGGCTGCTGCCCTAGGTGCTTGTGACGCGGCTGCTCTAGATGCTAGTGCGTCTGCGTCCTCAGGTACTGGTGAGTCTGCGCTCTCAGGTACTGCGTCGGCTTCGGCCTCCCTCACCTTCACCCTTGACTCTGGTGCTTCTCGCTCCTTCTTTCGGGACCGCACCACACTCGCGCCGCTTAGTCGGCTGGTTGCGGTGTCTCTGGCTGACCCCTCTGGGGGTCCTGTCCTGGCTCACTTCTCCACAGTCCTCCCGTGTCCGGCGGCTCCCACTGGCACCCTGTCTGGTCTTTACCTCCCCTCGTTCTCTACGAACTTGGTGAGTGGTGCTGACCTACAGGATGGGGGAGTACACCAGTTCACTCCTGCGTGTCAGCGGGTGACGCACTGCACAGAGGCTAGCACAGGCCGACACTTGGCTACGTTTACACGTCAGCCGGGGTCGAGCCTGTACACACTGACCACCGCGTCTCCTCCAGTTGCTGAGTCTGGTAGGGTAGCTGCGTTGGGTCAGGTGTTTGCTGTAGCGTCCAGGTCTGGTCCTGAGTCTGCCCCCTGTTCGTGTCGTCTCTTGTCTCACGAGACTCTCCTCTGGCACCACCGCCTTGGTCACCCCTCTCTGCTTCGTCTCAGAGGCATGGCCTCCCGTCTTCTTGTTTCTGGTCTCCCCCGGTCCCTCCCTCCCCTTCCTCCGGGGCCTGGCCCTACCTGTGTCCCCTGTGTCGAGGGGCGGCAGCGGGCTGCCCCTCACTCCTCCCAGTTTCCTCCGACAGAGGCCCCGCTGCAGACGCTTCACATGGACGTGTGGGGCCTAGCCCGCGTCTGTGGACAGGGTCACGAGCGCTACTTCCTGCTCGTTGTTGACGACTACTCGCGTTACACCGCGGTCTTCCCCTTGCGCAGCAAGTGTGATGTCACTGAGGTGCTGATCGACTGGATCCGCGCAGCTCGTCTCCAACTCAGGCAGAGCTTTGGCTCGGACTTTCCTGTTCTGCGTCTGCACTCGGACAGAGGCGGAGAGTTTTCCTCTGGCCTTCTGCGAGCCTACTGTATCGCACGAGGCATCCGTCAGACCTTCACGCTTCCGGACTCTCCGCAGCAAAATGGGATCGCTGAGCGCTGCATTGGCATGGTCATGGACGTCGCTCGTACGTCCTATGATGCATGCGGCTACCCCCCATTTTCTGTGGCTGTTTGCGGTGAGGTACGCGGCGCATCGGATCAACCTTCACCCCAGGGTCTCCAGGCCGGAGACCTCCCCAGCCTTGCTGTGGACGGGGAAGGTTGGCGATGCGTCGGCGTTCCGGGTCTGGGGATCTCGGGCGTTTGTCCGCGACTTGTCTGCGGACAAGTTGTCCCTTCGTGCTGCTCCTTGCGTCTTCCTGGGGTTCCCCCCTGGCGCGCTTGGGTGGCAGTTCTACCACCCCACCTCTCGCCGTGTTCTGTCCTCCCAGGATGTCACGTTTGACGAGTCGGTCCCCTACTACCGCCTCTTCCCCTACCGCACTCCGTCCCTCCCCCACCCCCCTCGCTCTTCCTTGTACCAGGTCCCCCACCGGTAGACCCCCTCCCCCCTCAGGGTCCTGCTCCTTCAGGTGTGTCCCAGGTAGACGCACTCAAGCCTGTCGAGGTTACTAGTGACTCAGGTGCTGCTGGGGGTGCTGAGCCTGGAGGTGTTGACTCTGGGGGTGCTGAGATTGAGGGTGCTGAGCCTGGGGGTGCTGAGCCTGGGGGTGCTACGCCTGGGGGTGCTGAGCCTGGGGGTGCTGCGACTAGAGGTGCTGAGCCTGGGGGTGCTGCGACTGGGGGTACTGAGCCTGGGGGTGGTGAGCCTGGGGGTGCTTTGCCTGGGAGTGCTACACCAGGAGGTGCTGAGCCTGGGGGTGCTGAGCTTGGAGGTGCTACGCCTGGAGGTTCTCCGGGTGCTTCGTCTCTGCGGGAGCCGCTCTCTTCACAGGAGCTGCGTGAGTGGTTTGCCCGGCGCTGGAGCCGTGCTGCTGGAGCTGGACGTTCTTCGACTTCTGAGGCTGCTGCTGTCGCGGGCCCGGGAGGTGCTCGTACTAGGAGTACTGGAGCTACTGGGCCTGCGGGTTCGACTGGAGCTGGTGCTGCTGAGGGTATTGGCGCTGAGACTACTGCTTGCGGACCAGCTGA